AAATAGACTTATCGAAGTCAAAGAGTCGCATGAGGATCCTTATCTAATGATACTGGGAAGAATTACGCGTTCTACAGCATTTGACAGCAGTCCAGTGCAGCCTCAGTTTAGTCACAGAGTAAACAGTAAGCTCACCCGAGGTGGGCGAGGATATAGAAAATGCAACACAAAAACTGCGAAAAAGAAGAAAAAGGAAAGGATGAGATGGTGGCTGAAAGCTGAGGCGGACGGACTCGCCTACCTCAGCGCGGTCGATCAGGCAATCGATCGAGTGGACGACTTTTAAATATACAGCTAGTTGTACTTTTTGCCTCATAATTGTGAATAGAACGCTAGTGGGCTGAGCCGCTGTGTTTTGTTTCTCTTGACGCGGCTGGGATTCGCAGGCACAAAACATTCTGCACAGTTTGTAACTGGCATGGCTACATCATAGTCAACCGTCAACCACGCAGTTGCGCGGCTGTCACCCATGGGGAAGTGGCACTAGCTGCTGGCATCCGAAAGTCATGGGGTGGAACGCGGCAGGGGTCCGATGGAAGGCGCGCCATTGACGAGAAGCAGGTCAAAACTCCGGCGTCCGGTGCTTTTCCAGACTTGCCAAAGCCTGCTGACAGAGAGTGGACTATGAAGAGTTATCTGAATTATACCAAAATCCACATTAAGCAGTAGTAAAATTCGAAGTACTGTGTGTGCAATCTGCAAACAGGAAGCGCTATGGAACCTTATCGAGTCAATGTAGCCACTTAGTTGATCCGACGAAGGTGGCTTTATCTAGTTGCTGTGTCAACCAACTGGTCGAGTGTTTTGCACGATGAGAAATCAATCAAAACATTTCGACGGTTCAAAAACGAGCAGCTGTCGATAATGTCAACAGTGGGAACTACGGAGAAGCACCAACTCTGAGACCACGAGAAGATCGTAGGACGGCCGCTGAGTATCGTTAGAACCAAAGTTTCAAATCCAAAGGATGATTGAGCCGAATAAGGCGTTAGTAGACTAAGAAATTGTATCCGAAAGGAAATAACGGGTATGCAACAGCAGCAAAAGCTAAACAGCAAGCCATACTGGAACGAGGAAGATCAACCCATGAGTCAAAGAGACGAATTATCTGATTATAAGAATTGCCATCTTCTTCCAAGTAAACTGACATCCCAATAGACTGCGTGTCGAAATCCAAACAAAACTCAACATTGATAGCGATTACTGCTAGGTACGTGTCGCCACCGGTATTCTCTCCGTTGTCAGTCGCACATGCGTGCCGTAGACTAGAAGTGACCCGTGATTGGACGTGTTTATCGACTGATTTGATTAAAAAGCATGGTTCAGGTTACCGTTTTGTAAATAGACTTTCCTACTCGTGTTCCGTGTTGTGTTTTCATTCCATTGGTTGGGTGTGTCACAAAGATTACGGCGGCGAGTTGAGAATAGGTCTAGTGCTCTCAGTATCACGGAATGGGTTTACTACATTCGGCATTGACTGACTGGAACATAAAACGGACACCGCTGAGTGGCGGGTGAAATTGACTTATACGGCATGGTGAGGTCTACCGGAGTTGTTCGGAAGAACCAGACACACATGTCAGGTATATTTGATAACCATCCCTTACAAAGGTAAACTCTGCAATGTAGTCAATGGTTCTGATACAATCCGGCTTCCCCAACCGAAGTAGGGCGTTGAAATATTAGGAATCACTGGGAGCCTTTGGCTTAATAGCCTACCTGCTACGCGGCAGGGGGCTTATGAAAATCGCGTCCATTGGAAGCCGATGACTGATTGCCTAGTTAATACGCCTTTCGTTCGTTGAGTCATCGAACAGCAGCCAAATCCCCTTTATAAGTTCAGCATCAAGTTGCTAGAATACGATGCGAGAGGTAGCGAGTCTACTTAGTGGTGAGTAGCACTGTTAGTATTATACGGATGTTACATTTGTGACTTTTGTAGCGAGAATGACCACCCGGCGAAAACGAACAATATACTGGAACAATGCATCGAACCGTTGCTTGGAAGGCTGACAACAAGATGATGTAATTCGGGAAGCCAGCCTCGAAAACAAGAAGAATGTGGGATTGGTGAACCCAACCGTACTAATGCGCTGACCACCGAATCTATGCTGTCTATTTGTTGACTTAACATGAGATACATCAGCGTGAATGCCGCACAGTGAAATCTATCAAACCAGGCAAGAGTGACGGTGCAACTGGTCCAGATACCGACAACATAAGAGGCGGGTGTACGATAAGCAGTTCATAAACACAGGTGCACACACAATCCAATTAGGCTGGAAACGCTATTTTTAATGGAATGTCCCATGGAGAGGTTAGAGCATTGATTCGGCTATTTTAGCAACGATAACGCTGAGTGAAAGTAGTGAAGATAGTAGAATCCACGTTCCAACAAGCAGTCAGTAGTCCACGTCAGATTTGCAGGCAAGACCAGGACTGCTACCTGTAATGTAAACAAAAGGTGGGTCAATTGATTAGCCGAGGGACTTTATGGAGATCAACCCGTGAGATGGTCTAGTGCCATGCGGCTGCCGTTATAAATTCCTGAATCGTAGTTCAGTGTTCCTACAAATGATTTGTTGAGCCGAAAGGAATAAGGTAGGCTAGAATAGACCAATTAACTAGACGAACGGGTGTTCAGTGTGTGAAAATCTTATATCCCGCACGACGGTCAGAACACTACCAGGTTGGAGTAAGCAGTTAGTAAGACCAAACGTGCAATGAATGCGGATGCCGAACGGAGCAGACAGTTGCACGGACGCCCAGGAAGTCAGACTTATGCAAATCAGTTGCTGCACGGCGGATAGAACGAGCGAGGTAGGAGGAAGAAAACCGTCAAGACCAGTTAGCAAAAAAGCTGATGAATTAGTGCTGAGATCAGATATACGTGCAACTAGGTCACAAGCCGCATAGTTCAGGGAACAAACATCGGAAACCATTCAGCTTTCGCAAAGAAAGTTGAAACGAATAGTTGTGTATCACACTGAATGCTAATAAAGGATGTGTTTCGGAAGCAGATCTTGGTCACCGACCCCCGGAACACCTTTAGATAAAAGTGTGGAAAGCAATTAGAGAGGAAAGCACAAGAAAAAGCGAAATCATGAAGACTGGGACACTTTGTTTCGTAAGCGCAGACTAAGTCCAGTCAAACTTGTCTAAGGGGACCACAAAGAGGGCCGACAAAGTGTTCATCTTGGAGAGGTGGTCGCCATGGAAAGGTTTATGCACATCACTCATAAAAGAAAATGTTGGGGATGTTTTGCGTGGTCGCCATGAACAAGTGGCAGCCATGGCAGGTTGGATTGTAGTAATAAATCGTTCCATTGAATCACCAGTTAATATAATATTACTAAAAGGCCGGTGGCAATAAGAACTAAACAGCACTTGAACATTTTTGAACAAGGGTCTCGAATGGGCCACAAAAACTTGGATAAAGATAGGTAGCCTGTATATTGAAAGTCAAGTAGAATGAGACAAAGCAGATGCATGAAGCTGGCAAAGGACTCATGACTGCAGCTGATCCACAACGTTTCGATGCGACATAAGTTGCGTCGTTTCAAGTGAACTGAAACATACGTGATAGCAAAAACAGGAGCTGAGGGTCATCGTCACAATAGCATGGCCAGTTTGGAAAAACAGCAGTGTAAGAAGCACACCATGTTTACATGAAAGTTATTGATGATTGCGCTGCGGTTCGCACTCCAACATGGATACATCTGTTGATACGCGCCAAACTGGTTAGTTCAAGATCAAATGACACGCATTTAGTGGCCCTATCCCGTCCAATCCATTCACATAGCTACCGACTTCGGTGATTTCTATTGCCCCGGTAATCAACGTCTGGGGTGCTGCTCTTATCTACCCTAGTGATCGCAGCATTCATCAAGTCGACATCATGCCATGCGGTTACGGTGCGCAATGTTACCACCGAAACTCGAAGCAAGGTCATGTATACAGGCTCGTTCTTCGGCATCCGCGATATACGTGTTTCCGGTATCCCGGTAAGCCGTTCTTGTTCGCCTTGATTTATTCATCTATATGCGCAGTTTTTGCTACTTTTGCTGTGGAAGCATTCAGCGACATATGCTGGTAGGTGGGGGAGTTGACTTATCACATATTAGCCTCATTAACTCGTTGTTTGATACCCGCCGGATCCCTGCTGAGGTCCCATCTTTATAAGAAACGTCTGTTGGAAAAGTTCTGGGAAGACATGCGTGGAAGATGGACGCGACGAAGTCCCTCCAGCAATCTTAAAGCGCACATCCCACATAGTTTGGTGCAGGTTTTCAAGGGAACCCGAAACTGTGGGGCCGAAGTTGTCCTGTGCAAATGTGGCAGAGAAGGACAAGCCGCGCCATGTGTAGCCATGGAGGTCTAAGGAGGTTCCCCAATACCTACGACATAAGCCGTTAGTTTCCAAACACAAGAGTCGTTGTTTGTGCTCCCATAGAGTGCTAACAAGAAGGAACAGCAGACCGTCGCTTTTCCGGATGAGAGGGGGCTGGGAAATGTAAAATAATTGTGATAAATTTCATTAAAAAGATATCAGATCTGTCCATGTCACTGAAAAGCACTTGCTTCTACACATATAATAATAGACATTACGGGATTTGACCCTCTCGGTTACCTTGACAAACCGGTGACGCTTGATGTGCCTTACACAGCAAGTTTCCACAGGAACGAGTACGCAACTAGATGGAAGCCGCGATCTTTTCGGTATCAGCGCACATTCACATCATCGACTGAATTCGTCTATCGGAATTAAGGAGTGATAATGCATTTTAGACACTGTGCGTCCCAAGGTCATCCGAGCAGTTTCGGCGTGCGATTCATGTGGTGTTTGTGCCGGGCACTTAAAAAAGTTCAGTTGTTGACGAAAGATGCACGTGGCAGTGCATTGGATGTAATGTAATCCGTTATCTCTAAACGAATGAGTTTCAAACACAAAATAAAAGTACTAATAGGTACGTAAACGCATGGACATAGCAAGGCAGATAGAATGCGTACGAACGGAGTGAATATATTGAAGGAAATTGGGGAACATTGCGAGTTAGTGGACAGTAAAGCAGCAGCATGAAGTGAGTGGAGGAGTCCATGGTCTTGGTAAGGAGGTGAAAACCGAAAAGTGATAACAAGAATCGGAAACATTGACAAATCAGCTCTGGAAATATGCGAGCGCCGATTTCTGGAGAACAAACTGTACAAAAACACATAAAGTCCATGATGTTTACTGTAGATGTGGCTATGAGTCTGAGGTCTCATCACAACCCGCGAGATCACCCTTTTGTGCGTCGAAGCAGCTTTCCACAGCACGGCCATCGTCAGCCTCGTCTTCCTCTGTATCAGCAGGGTTGACAAATCCGGGCCATTCGGTCAGTTCGTCAGAGTCTTCAAAGTCGGGATTCTCTGAAATCCGATGAATACCAAGGCGCAGAAATGGGGTACCTTGGCCCCTTCCTGAGACAAAGAAAAAGGTGGAAAGAAATGGTGGTGATCGAAAAGCCCTGAGCAACACAATAACGATGTGTGTTGGACAAAGCGGCGTGGGTGAAATGTGTTGGTACCAGTGGACACAAACAAGTTCAAGTTGGCTGTTCACGTTTTGACCTAATCAACGATCCCGGCGATTTCATTGCAAATACATCGGTACCAATCGAAGTAACCTATAATCAAACGTAAATGAGGTCACTTCGATTAGCGGGGGAATATCAGCAGCCGAACTGTCAAGTTCAGCAGAAAACTGATGAGGAGATTGAATACTTATTGAAACAGGAGAGATTAGTTATTGGCTTACACCTTAAAGAAGGGCGCATGAAAATCAAGCCCAGTGGAGGCAAGCTGGCAAAGAGGTAGAAATCAGTTTCGTCTTTACGAGGCATATCAAGGAGAATGACACATTCCTTCTGTTCCGAGGAGAAAGTGAAATGATGATCTAGTCCATTCTGTCTGCTGTGGTCTTTCACTAAATTTGTGTAAGCGAACGGCGAGTGGACCGACATGGCCCAGCTTGCACTATTGCGCCCTCCGCAGCTGACTCACAGAGCAACGTTCGGGTTAGCCTGAGGTTAGCATTAATCTCACCGAATCATCAAGTACATGTTGCAAAAAGGTGACTGGAGGGTAGTGGAGTAGAATACCTAGTACAAAATCCACGCATGCTAAGAGCCCCCTTTCCGATGAATGTATAAAATCATGAATAGGGATCATTTGGGTTTAAAGGTATGTGAGTGTGTGGCCTAATCCTGGAAGGACCCACACAAAGAAGTGACAGAGATGAACCAGAATGAACGATACTCGGACTTTAGACTGTGGAATTAAGGAGCGTAATGTCAGTAGTTGGCAATAAAGTCAAGTGGAATGTCTATGCAGGAAAGTTGTCCCGGACAGGTTGGGAAAGAAGAAGGCAGAAGACATTAGCAGTACGCCGTAGCAGCACTTCGCTGCCACACAACCACCATCAGTCGCGCGTCGGCTAAGGATATTAGGAGAGTCGCCCGGACCCCTACGCAGACTCGAACCAGTGACATCCGGGATGCAGGGCCAACACATTGTGCTTTCGGCCACTAGCCGGCAACAGGCGTAGAATCCTAGAAGGAGTAGAATGTAAAGATGCTGTCTTAAATGTGCTGATGCCTTAAAAAATCTGTAAACATGAAGACACAGGGAAAACGCCTGCAGAACGAATGGTAGGGAAGGTGCTTAGGCGCCAAACATATTGATGTACACTACATGACGAAGTTTCGAACGGCATAGTAACTTGTCAACGGTCCTACGCCAAATGCTCTCTTCCACTACAGCCGGGATCATTCGTTCGGAACAAAAGTCGAAGTACCTAAAAGGGGCAATCAACGCTGTCTGCGCCGCTGAAAACCACACATGCATGTGGGTCTGACATGTGCCGATTGGAAAATGGTTTAATTGTCAACATCTGTTGGCTGTACAGAGCAAATGGACCTGCCCAGCGTCATCCAAGTCTAAACCGACATCAATGCTAGGTGATGGATACCACCTGTATGAAGCGAATTTCACCACGACTAGCTTACTTAAACTTAGCCCAAATGGTGGGACTGCAAACAATGCTGAGTTGTCATTGGGCTGACATTTGAATTGAGTTGCGTTTCGTTTCGAGCGGCTTGGGACTCTACGTCTGCCGCTTACGATGTACGTATCTTCGTTTTCGCAATTTCGCAACGGCTTACCACAGTCGTGTAATATTGCTCGGGTAATAATTAAAAAGCGATGGCAGCCGTCGACGATTTAACTGCACAACACTGAATCAGAGCAACCTGGCCTTGTTCGGACGGTTTGTCCGTGTGTGATTATCAAAAAGCACACTGAACGCGCAATTCTGGGTCCGTTATCCGGAGCAGTTTCGATGCACTTCTGTGGAGACACAATGTAGGCCGTTTGCAACATGACCGAGCAATCCACTTTGTTGGCACATTTAAGCACTTCCTCGTGTTACAGGCGCTGTCTAGTTCGTCTGGTCTTGCAACGTAATCAGTAGCTAGTGGTTCGACTGAGGCCGTGTTTTTACCCAGGCCGTGGAGGCCTTCTCACCCGAATGACCGGAACAACACTGCAGCACTTAAGTTGTACTATGGCGTAATGCGCGCTGCTTAACAAGGTGAAATCATAGAAACCGCACTCACAGTCGCGATTGTTAGTTGACACGGAGCTCTCCAAGGGAAACTGAAACATGAATTGCAAAGGAAGCTAAATTGGTTGGATGATTCCCACCATATTGTGAAACTTTAGTGCGGTACTAGCCTCGTTCTCTGCGTTCTCAAGGTAAACCATGGGCTGCCGAGTTCCCATTTTCTGAACTGTACCTTTTATAACGCCGGCGGATGGTGAAACTGTGCCCCAATGTTTGCGTTTTTATCATCGCAACAATAGCATACATATTTACTGTATTGCCGGATGTAATGCTTTAGCAAGCGTACTGGTTCAGCGGGATTACCGAACCGTCCAGTCACAGGCGAAAATTTCCATGAATACTTTCCCGATCACTGCTTTCGGCACTTACCCAATCACGAGCTGTAAGTCGACTTCATAATTGTTACAATATTTAAAAAGATGTAAAGTTCTACTGTAGCAGCTTAGACGTTGCGCGTCACAGCTGATTCACACGTGTACCTCAAAATGACCATCTAATCAGACATTGAGCGTTGTGCCAAGCGTTGCCCGTCGTGAGCCCGTGGCTTAGGGATAACAGTCGCAACTGACATCCCAAATGTTCCAGGTTCCATGACTGATATCTACCTATTGAGATCAAATAAGACCGAAACGCGTATTGGAGTGCAGCGTTTTCGGGCGGTGGACATCCAACATGTACCTGTTTCAGCAGTTACTGTTCCAGTGATCGATTTGCCAAGGTTTGCTGCCGTCACCCATAGCCCAGTCGCATAAGTTGCTGTCTCATAAGAGTAAGCTCGTGGGTACGAATCCGGCAGGACTCGGCGACTGCGCGCTACTGATGAGCCAAATATGACGAAACGGCTGTCTAGCGCTTTCTTGGATGTGCGTGAATGTCTGCCTGAGGTCAGCTGCGAGGAATCTTCGCCAAGGTTCACAGCAATGGGAACCGTGGTCGCGATTGAGATTGCGCGTCGCGATCTTGTCACGCAACGTGCACTTCAAAACGACCCTACAACCGCATTACTTTGGTTGTTTACAAATTTAAGATCCAAGGGACAGTGCTTACCAGTTCATCGATGATGATGATGATGATGATGCCAGGATTTTAAGGAGTTCCTTCGGATGTTAACAACTATCGGCTGGATGCTCTCAGTGGACTATACAGACCATGCGAAATGCATATTCTACCAGTAGGTACGAATCGATTTCACTAACTCAGCTGGAGTCAATTTTCACCAAAATTCAGGATGTATCTCATCACAACCAGTCAGACGGCAAATTGCCGACTAGTCTGATTTGGAAACGTCAACAGTGCCCGATGCCTGTTTAGTACCTTAACGGTTGTGCAAGATCTTACTGACATGTTGTGTGTAGCGGATTGTCACAGAAACTTATCATCAAGCAAAGCAGTTGAGTTCGCTAATATGCCCTTGGCCAAATAAATTATCGTACATGTGGAACAGTGGGAAAATGGTGTATTACGAGTAAAAATTCAATGGTTAACAAGTCCTGTGAGATGGAAATTATTGAGAAAAAAGTAATTCATGGTGAAATGGAGTGCTATAGTGGACTCACCATAGACATTCACAAAAAAGACGAGATGTTCAAGTGACAGAAGTATAAATCCATACATTCATTGGTTGGAATTTCGGAAACACATCGTTTGGTTGCGTTGTGTAACCCCCTGTCTAACACGTCATAAAATGAAATGCCAATGGGGCAGTGATTTGTTAAATCATCTTTTAAACATCGTTAGATTGGGTGCACAGACGGTATGAGTTAGGAGGGCGTTCCGTGGCTGACACACTAGGAGAGATAAGAAACTTCTACGTCATTCCAGTCGGGTATACTGCATTGTTAATTTCAAAGGGTGACCTCTTAGTTTGGTGTTGTGGGTCAGTTCCAGCAGCGGATGGCAGATGTGGTTTGGATTCTTCAGGATCTGGTAAACGATTGAGATTCCCTCACATACGCCGATATTGATTGCTATACATTCCTAGGGGTTTCAATCTAAGCTGGTAAGATAGATGGAAGATATTCCTACGGTTCCTGGTTGCCTTCCGGTGAGGAGTCTCGAGAGTGACGAGATCCTGTTTCTGCCCCAGCTACCACACTTGGGTATTCCACGTGCAGTCGCACGCAAGTGTTAAACATTTGGGGGGAGATTGAGGGGTCAAACTGACCGAACGATCTGCAAAGGTCAAAGTGCTGATTTCCGGTGCTCGACCACTTCTCCCCTTGTTTTGAGCATCCGAGATAGTCCTGTATCAATACACCCAAGTCACGCTCCTAAGGGGCCTTCTGAAAGGAGTGGTCTCCAAACTTGTACACGCTCACCGGCTGGTGACGCCGGTAGACCAACTTGCACTTATATGTGTTCAAGTGGAGTAGGTTCCTCGTTGACCATTCATAAATGCAATCCAGGTCGTGATGGAGTAGATCGTGAGCTTTCTTGTTATAAATTGCTCCTTAAATCTTGATGCCGTTGGCGAAAGAAAGCATTGTAGGAGAGAACTCTTGCCAGATCGTTTATAAACACCAGTCCCAGTACTGATCCCTGTGGAACACCACATTTCACCTCAATCGGATTGGAAAGTAATCCACTAAAACGCAATCAGCAAGTTGGTGGTGCATGACCGGTGTTGACGTAAGCCATGCTGCTCCGGTGCCAAGACGTTGCGTTTTCCAAGTAATTAATTACAGTGTCAGCGATGACAGCTTCCGTCACGCTTATGAGCACAAGGAAGTGGGTCACTGGGCAACAGTATTCAAGGACTGAACAGCTACCGCCGTCAGAACCGGCACATTTCCCGTTT